ATCTCAAGAAGTACTGGATCCGACTAATTAAGCTATATATGTTGTGCGTTACGTTGTGTGCTTCTATTCATAGAAATTTATATTGCACTAAATTAACGTGCTAATTGCTAGCTGGCTGCAGACATATATAAACAATTAATGGAAGCTTTAGCGTTGAGGCAGCTTGTTTCTAATTAGTTATTTTCATTTGCGACACCACTAAACATGTTGCTGCATATGTCGAAACACTATGAGAAGTTGGTTGGCAAATTATTCATTGCAAATACGTCAAAGTTCCAACTGTGATTGCAAGATTCTGTCAAAGTAGCTATTTTGCCAGAAGGGTAAAAATAAATTTTATAATCCAACTGCATAGGTTGGCTCCCTTATCATCTCTTTAGTAATAACTGATCAATCCCATATTAGTATATATTAAGCCCCTCAGCTTGGAACTTGACAACTCTCTATTAATAGGTGTACGTAATCCGAACACGTTCGGATGCTGCGTATTTACTGCTTATTTGTTGCGTATTTTTTTATACAAATTTTTTTTGTGCCAAAAAATAACAAATAAATAATACTCACTAAATACTCACTAAATACACAATAAATACGCAAAAAATACGTAGAAAAAATTAAATACACAAAAAATACGCAACAAATAAGCAGTAAATACGCAGCATCCGAACCTATCCCTGCGTTCGGACTGCGTACAGAATAATTTCTCCTATTAATATCTCTATATATGTCAATAACTCCCCAACAAAAGCTCCTTCGGTGCCTCCACCAGCTTCATGATTGTGATTGCATGCTCTCATTAGCTCAAGGTTGGTGACTCCCTGGCGACAGAAACTCTCCCAGTCACATATCATCTCAGTATTTATAATTCCTTGATCAGTTGCTTCTGTCGGCTTAGTTCCTTTAAACCAGGGGCTTATATCCCAAACTTTCGAAAAACTATTCAGGGCCGGCCCCGGACTGCGTACGGAGCCCAATCAGAAGATGACACATCACTTTTTTGCTCGATATCGGTGCTTTGTACCGCTTCGTACCGGATGATATGACGCATTCTGATTGATCTCGTATTTATCTGTTGTCCCAGAAAGAATAGAGCACCAAAGCCTTCTAATCAAGCCAGAACCCCAGCAAAATAAATTATCGAGACAAAACAAGACTTGTTTCGTGGGCTTGTTTTTTGTTGTCAAAGCTAGGTCAGCCAATATTAGATTGATGACAGTGATATATCCCAATAATTTCAGTCTGTTGAATACTTGTTTAGAAAATGCGGAGTCATCAAATGTCACTGCAAGAAAAATGCTGAGCGGAAATTTCGGTGAATTTTCAGTGGAATATTTTTGGTAGAATTCCTACGAATTTTTTTATGAGATTTCCGACAATTTTTCGGTGGAATTTAAAATTTTCAAAAAAATAATTAAAATTAAATTAATATTGTTAAAGTAAAATAAATAAATAGTTTTAATAATTATTGTTATGTTAGATTAACTAATTTAAATTAATTAATTAGTTAATCTAATAAATTTTGTTAAATTAATTTCTTCCATATTATCAAATTGATCTTTAAAAAATATTAATATTAATATTTAATTAATTATTAATTTTAGTATTCTATATTTTATAATATATTGCAAAATAGTAGTATTTGTAATAGATTTTTCTCTGCGGCCTATTGGTTGGGCGTTGGTTCTCCGTAGGAGTCCAGTTTGAAATTCACCTCACACATAGGCGGATCCCCATATTAGTGAGGGGG